CTCTCTCTCTCTCTCTCACACACCCACACCGCTCTCTCTCTCTCTCTCGCTTGCACACGCACACACACACACACCACTCTCTCGCACACACACACACGCACACCGCTCGCTCTCTCTCTCTCGCACGTGTGTGCGCGCACACACGCGCACACATGCACACACACCGCTCTCTTTCTCTCTCTCTCTCGCTCGTGCGCGCACACACGCACACACGCACGATGCGCAAAACTCCGCATTTGAACAGTCAATAGCAAATACTTAAAACTAATAACAAAACAGTAGCTGATTCAGAAGCGCCAGATTGTCATAGCAAAGTCAGAATTACCTCCTCTCCTAGGTTCACGAAACGGTCGTCCATAAAATGCATTGCTGTTCTGTTGTAAGTAATCTTAAAGATTCCTAAATGCATCTACTTTCGGAAGGCCAAATAAAGTGCTTTTGCTTTCGCCTAAAAACACACAGCGTCTCCCTGACATGCTGCTTCAACACTAACTGCGGTTACTGAAACCACGCCTTCTTTCTTTGCGTGAACATTTGGGCAGCATTATGCTAATATTTCCACATAGTGAGGTAGATATGTGGGGGCGTGTTAGAACGAGCCGTTTTAGGGGGGGCGTGGCAGAGTCTTAACTTTGATAAAGAACATCTCTTTGGTTTTGAGACTTTAGTCTTTGCAACTTCAGGGATCTTATCTATGCACAATCAGCTTGTAACACTCCAAAGAGAAATGAAAACTTGAAATCGCATCATATGACCCCTTTAAGACAGAATATCTTGGCTGACCCTGAAATAGAGATATATAGTGTATATATATATATATATATATATATATATGCTGTATGAATTACATATTGGTTGTTATTGAATTATTAGGTGCAATGACTGATGACTATTGACAACTGTGGATTAGTTTGCTGATTATTACAGGTGTTTATAAAATTGTACATAAGTTTGAATCATGTGGTTTGTTGTTTTCTTGTGTAGGACACCAAAACAGGCTCACCTGACTCTGACTCCTCCTGTCCCTCCTCTCCCAAACCCTCAAACACTGTTAGTATCAGCATCATCCCTCTCTTCTCGTCCTTGTCCTCCTTTATGTTTGTCTTTGTTGCCCTGCTCTGTCGTTACTCCTCTCTTAATGCTGAGCTCTGACTCTTCTGTGTGCTTGTGATGTGGGTTTATAATAAATCAATAAGCCATGAGTACTCTGGCATTAAGGGTTTAAGGGTGTTAGATATGCTCAATGTGAAGTGGAGTGCTTTAATGGTTATGGATGGTTAATCACTGGACAACCTCTCATGGATCAATGCCTTTAGAAAGCCACACCAATATGACAAGACTGTGATGTTTAATAAGTGCTTACATACTTTAGCAATGATATTAAAAATAAAGTCAGTTTGGTGCATTGATACAGAAGTAAATCGTTGTGTGATCACAGGTGTGTGTACATTTTTATTCCATTGTATTCCTTTGTGCTTTAAATGCAGCTCGCCCAGTCAGATTTTAGAACTGTCCATTTTATAAGCATTTACTGGTTGTGTCTGTTGAGCTGCTTCTATACTAAATACTAAAGAACTGACTGTAACATAGTTCAGTACAACATACTCCCTAAATCATCACTGTTCTTGTGTAATTTCTCTCTTATGGTAGCCTCTGTTGCGACTGGACAAAGTTAGGTTTCTTCTCACTCTGTTCTGGGTTAATTCTGTGGCTGCATGCTGTTCATTGCTCTGACTGTTTTTTTTTTTTTTTAGGTTTAGTTTTGTCCTTTTTCTCTCTTCACAAATAATTTTCTCTATTCTAGTCGTCAGAGAAATGTGGCAATTTAAACATGACTAAAATCACTGAACATGGAAAAAAGGTCCGGTAAGTAAAAATAATGCTCTCATTCATTTGACAGAGCAAACAAATGCTTATAACTATGCCATGCTGATATTGTAATTGTTTGTTTGCCTTTTGTCACGCCCACAGGAAGAACTGGACCTCCTATTGGATAGTTTTGCAGGGTTCTTCACTACTATTTAATAAGGGTCAAGGGGGCGGGACTGGTTGGGTGAGTGACAGTTCAGTGATGAGAGAAAATCATCAGTAGCCCACGTGATGTACTTAGTTTAAATGTCTTGTGTGTATGTTCATGTGTTGCTTTCTCAACAGTTTGGAAGAGACCAGAAGCTGGAGTTCAGTGTGGAACTCAAAGGAGGTTCAGTGAACTGGGCATCTAAAGACAAATCGAGCAAGAAACATGTTCTAGAGGTAAAGAGCTGGTTGGAAACTGGTAAACAGCAGTTGTTATTTATCTAATTTGACTCTCTATGTTTGCTTTGGTTAAAAGAGATATGAATGTTGAACTGTTATTAAGGTCATGCAGTGGATTATCCTGTCCTTTTTGCATAGAGCTTGGCTGAAGCTGTGGTGAACAGCTTGATGTCTAAACATGGCTAATTGTGTGACAAATACTGCTGTTTGATTTGTTGTGTTCATGTGTCTAAGCTGAAGACCCGGCAGGGCATGGAGCTCCTCTTGCAGTCAGATAACGACAGCCACATCAGTGAGTGGCACAAGGCTTTGACTGAAGCCATACACACATATGTAAGATCAGTCTTCTATATGCCTTTACTTACATTTCTTTGGCACTTTAATTATTCTGAATTTTTTTATTGACCTTGATGTGTGTTTCATGTTGCAGGCATGGGAGTCTGATGAGGCCATTGAAGAAGACATGCCAGAATCTCCTGACACTGAGAAACATGACAAAGAAAAAGAGCAAAGAAACTCCAAGAAGGGCAGGGGTGTGTGTGTGTGCCTATGTGAATGATTCTGTAGACCTGTTTCAAACCCTAGGCAGCTGTCTAGTGTATTGCTAAGCTAACAACACGATACTCTAATAAGAATAAAAATGCATAACACAGTCTGCGGTGGGTGATTTATTTATGATACAGCCCACTCATATATTCAGTCCAGTGCACCTGGAGTTGTGTACCATTCCTTACATAGACTTCTCTTCCCATGATGCTTTAGATATTAAGAAATCCGTAAGCATGGATAATGCAGCGCAGAAGAAGAAGACCAAGCTGATGAAGCTCCTCACAGTCAGACCCACTTTACAGGCCGTCAAAGACAAGGGCTACATTAAAGGTACCTACACACAGAACTGGGTGGATACAGAGTTATTGGTAAAATTCAAAGACTGTTTTATTGTTTGATTGTTTCTCTCTCTGTAGATCAGGTGTTTGGCTCCAGTTTGAGCAGTCTTTGTCAAAGAGAGAATTCCACCGTCCCTCACTTTGTCTTGATGTGCATTGAGCAGGTGGAGAAGAACGGTACTCTTCTGTTCAGTCCATGTGCAGCTGAATATTGACTAAATCTAAATCCTAAATTTACTCTCACCCCAACTCTCTTTGAATGTTAATGCTTAATAAAACTTTAATTACTATTTTCAGCCCTTGTCACTGACTATCATAGGTTACATGCACATCAAATTCCACCTTAATATTCCTGTGTACATGGTTGTTGTAGTTGCCAATCTGTACATGCACACTTTCTTTCCCACTCTTATTTCCTGGGTAATTTAGTACTGTCATTAATTGTACAGTATGCTGAGTTATTATTAGTTTCAAACAACACTGCCACAAAACGGAAAAGGTTGTGCAGTCAATAATAATAATATGCATTATTTTCAATTTATTTTAATAATAATATTAAAAAGGTGTTATCATTGTCAACTAAAACAATTAATATTTTTGTTACTTAAAATAAAATAAACATTAACTGAAATGAAATAATATACCGGTATTAAAAATATTAAACTTATTTTATTTCAGCTTTTACCAAGGCAAATTTCCTCAGTTTTGTTTAGTTTAACTTGAAGTAATAAAATAGCTAAAATAAAATAAAACTATAGACACATTTTTTTTTAAATGTATCAAAACGACAACAAAATTACTAAAAATGTTAACATTAAAGTGAAAACCGTAAATATAAAAATAAAATAATAATATTAACAAAAACTATAACAGAGTATCAATGATAGTAAAATGACACTGCTTAATATCACAATATTGATGTGCAAGTAAACTGGATGAGTTGATACTCGCTGCTATAACCTGCATTCTAACATGCATTCCAATGTTTTGTAATTCGTGTCATTTCTTTCTCTTTCTTTCTTTATTCAGGGTTAGGAGTGGATGGTTTGTACAGAGTGAGTGGAAATTTGGCCTTTATACAAAAACTGAGATTTGCTGTTAATCACGGTACGCCCTGCCACCTTTTAAACCCATACTGATTTATACGAAACAGATCATTATTGATGTGTATTTTAAAAATAACATGATTTGTGTCACTTTGATCTACATAAATACAGATGAGAAAGTGGATTTAGAGGACAGTAAATGGGAAGACATTCACGTAACCACTGGAGCTCTGAAGATGTTTTTCCGTGAGCTACCAGAACCGCTGTTCCCCTACGCTTTCTTCAACAACTTCATCACTGCTATCAGTGAGTGGAGATCAGTATTTGACACTAGTGTTTAGAGGGAGATATTTTGCACACATGTAACTGTTGTGTTTCTGTGTAGAAATGCCTGATTATAAGCAGAAAGTTCAGGAGGTTAAGGATTTGATGAAGCAACTGCCACGGTCTAACCACGACACCATACAGGCGCTCTTCAAACACCTGAAGAAGTGAGTATAAAAGGAGAACGAGATTGAAAATTAAAAAGTTGCTTTTTTTCTTTTTTACTCTAGAAGGCACATAAACAATGGAAATGATTAGGTAGTTGTTTTAGAAAAATGCTGAAATAGTTTTAAAGGAAGTGTATGTCATGTTAATTGCCCTTGTGATTTTACAAGCACTCTTTCTCTCTGTAGAGTGATCCAGCATGTCGACGAGAATAGGATGACCACGCAGAGTGTAGCCATCGTGTTCGGCCCGACGCTCCTACGCCCAGAGGTAGAGACGGCAAATATGGCCGTGCACATGGTCTACCAGAATCAGATCGTTGAGCTCATTCTTATGGAATATGAGAAGATATTTGGCAGGTAGGTCACACGCACAGGAACATTTTGACCAAACCCAGCGGGACAGTTACTGCTGAAGACTGAACAACCCATTGACTGCCAGTCTGAACACTGTTTTGATATGTTTACATGAGAGGAACACCTGCATTAAAAACAAAAAACACCACTCTGGCTTCAAGATAAACAGTCAAATCCTTTCTCATATCTTTATTGGACTAAATAATTGTTATTTTTTTGACTGGATGTCATATTATTTTTATATATACCTAAATCCATTGGACTGTCATTTTTGGACCATTTTTGGATTCATTTGGAGCAACGAGGGCTTGAAATATGAATGTTTTCTGTCCGACTGAAAACCGTTGGAGAAATCTGATGCTTCATTTTAGATTTCCGTTCACTACAAATACTACGCTTTGCATCACGTCTTTCTGTGGTAATACTGTAATATGGTTTGGAACAACACATCAACTGATGGACTGATATGATAGACTTGGATTTTATTCTATACTAAAAACTAATTTTCACGGGAATGGATTGAATTCTGTTCTGGGCTCCCGGAAGTGACCCCTGAGATGACCACTGCTGGGAAACACTGGAGTTATTGTATAGACTCTCAAAATTTGGACACACAATCTTTTGTTCAAGTCTCGGCCACGATTTCCTGATAATTGATCCAACATCAAAGGATGTACAAACTCTTGAGCTATGAAAATATATGTCAATTATATTTCAGGCTGTACGAGTGCATCTGTCCCCTTCGGTCCTTAGAGAGACACTGAAAGGAAATGTGTCCATGACACATTTAACCCTTTGAGGACATTAGACTCGCAACTGTTCCTGACCAGACCCCAGCCATGCATTGAAAACTCTCACAGCCTATTTAATATTATTAAATTTAAATGAGTAAATTTAGACAAAATAACGTGAAGATCTTGTATTAGAGAAAGAGGAGAAATTCTGAGTGGGTAAAGCTTGATTGCTCTTTCTAAAGCTGTCTGATGGACATACTGTGTGTGTATGTGTGTGACGAGTAAAAAGCACATGGAGGTTAAGACACAATTGTATTAATAAAGTGACAGGTTTATTAAAATATTTTAAAAATTTATTCAGATATGGTTATTTGGTAAATGGCTGTTGAATGTAATTTGTTAAATGTTCTGCTGTATGTTGCAGAGCTTTGTCTTGATCAAAATAAAATTGACAAGGCAAATCGGTCACCTTATTGAGTGTTGTTACTCCCCTCCACCAAGAGGCAGCAAACATCACAACACTGGTTTTGTTTTTCATGTGTTGCCTTTAAAGTTCTCACATATAATTTAAGTACTGGTATGCAAAGCTACTCTTATGTCTTTTATATTATATGGATTTAATCAAAGCACAGCAGCTTTATACAGGAAACTTCAGACTTGTACGTTTTTACTGTAGATGCCGTTTTTTTTCCAGGGACTTATCTAAATTATTGGACCTGGAACATTCCTTTAATGCTGTTGATTAGTGACAGTTTATATTTTTATAGATGAAGATGCAGACTGACCCCATGAGGAAAAAAATTTGAATTAGTCTGACGCCTTTTTGTTCACTGATTTCTTGTTCTAATACTCCCTTATTTCACTCTAAAGTGGAAATTGCAAACTATTTCCTCTCCATTCCAATGGATACATTTTCTTTCTTTCAAACAAAAATATTAACTTTTGAAGAATTTGTCCTAATTTATTGTTTTGCTGAATTTTTAGATACAAAACCACACAAACAGTGGATGCTGTCACTTGTAGGAAGTCGTGGCCTAATGGTTAGAGAGTCGGACTCATAACCCAAAGGTTGTGGGTTCGAGTCTCGTACCGGCAGGGATTGTTGGTGGGTGGGAGTGAATGTACAGCACTCTCTCCCACCTGCAATACCACGACTGAGGCGCCCTTGAGCAAGGCACCGAACCCCAACTGCTCCCCGGGCGCCGCAGCATAAATGGCTGCCCACTGCTCCGGGTGTGTGTTCACGGTTTGTGTGTTCACTGCTGTGTGTGCACTTTGGATGGGTAAATGCAGAGCACTAATTCCGAGTATGGGTCACCATACTTGGCCACACGTCACTTCACACTTTTTTCACACTTTTTTTTAACAGTGCTGAAAATGTACTCTGTCTGCTAAGGTTTATGTATTAGAAGCTTTAATTTTTTTTAAGTTTTAAATGAAATGCTAAACATCTTTCTGGACACTCTAAAGTGGAATTCAGTTGTGTGGAAATTACTAAATATTAGCACGCTTTCAATAAATTTGTTTGATAATGAATAAGCAATTTAGAAATGACCTGGTGCTTCATTTCATTTTATTGTATGGGGCATCATAAAAGGAAACAAAGAAAAATCCTACAAATAGGTTCATCACTTTGTGGAAAATGTGACATTTATACACACAATGCAGAGTTGGCACAAATAAAAACATAGACAAAATGGCTTGACTAATTTTGGTTCCAAAATGGCAAATTCAGCACCATTACAACATGAATCCATGCTCTTCATCACAGGTTTATTAATTACTGTGAAGCTGTTGGAAAAGCTTCAGATTTAAGAAAAACCAAAGCAATGGGTACAAATGTCTGCCTGATTGACTTTCTGTGATGGAGTTAAAAAATAACTTGAAATTATAAAATGAATACTGTTAACTTTTATATACTGTATATCAGGGTTTAACCTCCTTCGTGGCACTGAGATTAATTCTAAAATACATTGTGTTAAACTACAGTGTTGTGTATTACACACGCAATAAATAAAGCAATACAAAAATAAGACATATATAAAAGGTTCTACAAATGAAACATTTGTCAGTGACAATAATACTGATGGTATTACACAATATACACATGCATAAACACAAAAAGAATAAACATTTCGAAATACACTGAAATTAATAATACTGCAAGGTCTGCTCAGACACAATCAACTTAAAAAATTTTAATCCTATGCGCCTCTTCCAAAGTGCTGCTTTCAACGTGCACTTCACAGTCATATTACATACGGTCCGTATTTGCCTTCTGCGTGACTTCGAGATACTAGATTTAGTTTAATCTATAGGGCCGTGCACGTTGGAAATCTTCATAACAGAGAGAACACTTGCTGATGAATATGAGTTGGAGGTCTTGTGCTCTCCTATACAATCTACACAAGCCTGTGGTTCATACATTTCAAGTACATTTTTTTTCATCGTCATTCATCAAATAATCCTTAACCTGCTTCTAATTGGTTCTTATTCATCACTTGGTTCGGCTATTTGTTTTAGGTTATTATATGATTCCAAACAGAATAATAAAAGAAGAGTGAAGCATAAAAAGCTTGGATTTCTGAATGAAAATGGCTGAATTGAAATCTTCTTATAAATGGCATGCCCATACTCACCTAATTTAAATAAATCTTTTAAATTTGATTTGGTCTAGTTTGATAGGGCTACTTATGTTGTATTATCTTTTTCTTTTAGTAAAGTTAAATTGGCAATTCTTCACAAAAGTGGGCTTAGAGAGAGAAAACCAGCATGAGCTATAACAGCTTGACAGTTTGCCATTTGATTACAGCTGAGGGCAGTGTTGGAAACTTAAATATTTTTGTAAATTTGTCAGATCTGTTGGGCTGTGTCCTTGAACAGTGTGGACATTTTTATGTATCTTTAAATTCTTGGTCAGCTGACTAAAATCTAGATTGTCCAGTGTGATATAATGTTTGTGAATGGCACTTACAGCTTGGCGGTCTTGCATAAGGCTGTGGGTTTGCAGTTCCTTAGAGCATCTCCTATGAACACAGACTGACACATTACAACATGAAGCCACGCAAAGATGAATGAAAGAACAGGTGAAACTGCCTTCTGAGGTTGACACTTTTTCCTGAATTTTTTTTGTATGGTGTCATGATCGTGAAAATTATGTTTTCAAAACATTACAGTTACCGACAAATATTTTGGAGTGCTTATTACAAAATGTCTTTTCTTAGTAGAATTCGAGTCCGATTTGAATTATTATTCAGTTGAGTAGTTCATTACAATTGAGCAGTTTAAGTTCTATCAAAGCGATTCAGTTTTTAAATGATAATAAGCATTCCTATGAATATTTCCATAATTAATGATTCGTATGATTTTTTTTCTTTCTTTTTATAAATGAGCTCTTAATAGTGAAGTGCAATTTAATTTCCTTCATATAAGGCAGATAAACAATCAGATGGGAAAATGAGGCAATGCTAAAAACAGCTTGCCTGATTAACAAGACAAAATACTGAATGGTATCTAAAATTTGAGGCATCAAGTATCTGTGGTTAATCTCACAAAGAAATGTCCAGGTCGTATTTCACCCTAAAAAATCAAGTTGAAAAAAATTCTATTTTGCATTAAGAAAATAGTCGACTTTAAAGATTAAGCATAAAATACTGTAATACAGTAATGAAAACCATTCTGTCTGGACACAATTTAATTTTTTTTTAAATAAGCATGAATTAAACTTTATGACATAAATTAAAATCAATGTGTATTTGCAATTGTTCTTAATTGTTTCAGATGATTAAAATGTGTTCATTAAAAAATGTCTGTGATGGTCCTAAAAATAGGCTTCATTGTCTTCATGCAAAATATATATATATATATATATATTTTTTTTTTTTCAAGTGAAATATGACCCTTCTTGACAGTTTTCATGAGACTCACCCCTGTACAATTTAATTTTTTTTTAAATAAGCATGAATTAAACTTTATGACATAAATTAAAATCAATGTGTATTTGCAATTGTTCTTAATTGTTTCAGATGATTAAAATGTGTTCATTAAAAAATGTCTGTGATGGTTCTAAAAATAGGCTTGATTGTCTTCATGCAAAATATATATATATATATATATATTTTTTTTTTTCAAGTGAAATATGACCCTTCTTGACAGTTTTCATGAGACTCACCCCTGTAAGTAAACCAGTTATACCTGCAGTGCAGAATTTAGTTTTGTTTCTCAAAACTTTAAAATACTGATTTTCGTAAACTTCATTGGCAAATATAAAGGTATAGAAATCTGACTGTACAGAGCAACAAAAACACGTGAACACTGATAAATCGACATACCAGGGCGGCTCAGTAATGGAACAAAGCCAAACAACTGAAACTTTGAAGTCCTACGAAGTCTAGTTGAGTTGGAGTTTCATTTTCTGCCATTTTTTTCTTTTTTTAAACAAGGAAATATTGTTTTGTAAATCAGGCACACCTGGGCTTTATACACAGTAAAGAGCTGAGACACAGTTTCCATAGCAACCGACAACTGTAAGATTATGATGAAGAGCTCGTCACCGCTTTCATTAGTCCCACGTGAGTGACAGAAAAAAGAGCGTTCATCCTTCAGTCCTCGGTTGCCATCTCTGTGTTTTCTTCATTATTTGTGAGAACTGTGTCCTCTTCCTTTGACTCCTCTGTCTCCATAGCATCTTCCGTTTCAACAGTTTCTTCCTCCAAAGTGTCAGTATCTCCGAGCTCCACCTCCATCACCATTCCTCCTTCTGTTTCTTGCTCCTCACTTCCTCGATCCTGCTCTTCCTCTCCACAGCTCTCCTCATCATCCTCGTATTCCTCTCCCACTCGCACCACTCTGATATCGCTCATGTCCAGAGCAGTCAAATCCTCTTCCTCCTCTCCGTCGCTCTCTCTCTCGTCCGAGTCGAGCTGAGAGGGAGGAGTGGAAGTGCTGACCTGCTCTGGCAGCTCATGAGTGTCTCTCTTGCAGTAGGAGTATCGGTGGTTCATGTGCTGAGAATAAGAGCCTGAGTGAGAGAAGCGCTTCCCGCACTTGTCACACTGGTAGGGCTTCTCTCCGGAGTGTAGTCGTGTGTGCTCGATCAGGTGGTGCTTGTGTTTGAAAGCTTTA